TTTTAGGGTAAGGATTTTAGAAAAAAGTATCGTCTTATAGTCGGAAAAATACGGTAATTATCTTGATTTCTGTGTATTCCATCTAGCGATGTCCATGTCTCCAGGTGTTCCACAGGGCTTTCACCTAATGAAGTTTAGCGTCTTATCCTCAGCAATTTTCTAATACCATAGAATAAAGAAGCTCCTTTTGCAGAAGGAACCAGCCCTTGTAGACCAGAACTCTTGGGAGATGCTGGCTTGCATCCAACTATATTGTAAGTTGCACAGACTCTATAATGGTCTCTGAGGACCTCTTCATAGGATGCTTCCCAGGTGGCCAGGTGAGTTCTGTGTGTGTCAACTTTTGTCAGACAAAGACTTCAGAATAACACTTAGTGTATCCACCTTCTCATTAATAGCCTGCTGGTTTTGATAATTAGAATATCTGACTCAGCTGGTCTAATATAAGGTTCAGTACACATGTACGGCAGCTCGACTTACTGTTACCTATTCCTGTGTATATACTAATGCATTCTAATTGTTCTATTTTGTTTTATTATTTTAATATTGGCCAATGAACATAGTAAAATATATTTTATTTGACTTTTTTTGCTGCATATTCTCAGCAGACTTTTTATATCAAGTTCATCCATTTTCTATTATGGTAAAAGTGACATGTTTGTTAGAAAAATTCCCACGGATCCCAACCCCTGAGGAGCTATCTTCTCTCACCTCTGGATGGGTTATGATTACAGAATTTTAAGAACTGTAGTCTTAATGACCCTAGAAAGCACAAGTTGGAGAAGATAAACTCATTGGACCCCATCCATTTAGGATATCTAATAAGGCCATGTGCATAGCGGATTGATCTAGATACAACATGGAACACACAGACATGCTAATAGAAATGACAGGAATGCTAACCACCTGAAATGTACTAGGAGAGGAAAGGCCATTTTAGTAAAGCTAGAAAAGTAATGGGATGAGATAAGATTGGAACTTTGCAACAATCACTCCAAATTATGAATTTATCATCCTTTTGATTTTTATCTGCATTTGAAACTTAAAACTAGGAACGATTATATTGTTAAACAGCAAACACTTGGCAACAGTATCTGTGGAGAGAGGGAGGTACATGATACACAAAAGCAATGCTGTGCCATTATGACCAAACCCTCGCCCCTTCAGCAAAGGCACTGTGACATTACACACCTGTATGGAAGGAGTGGAGGTTGCCACATGATGGCACACCACTTTCATCTTTTTGACCAAAGGAACAAGTTCCTGTTGACACCCATGAATGTAGCATATACAAGCTCAGAAGGCTCCATATCCAAAGCTAAAAGCAATGTTGTAATGGAGCAGGTATCAATTATATTGCCCTCACGGGCCACCCTCAAAATCTTGACATGATAGATTGCAGTGTTCATGGTATGCATTTTAGAGAATAACATACTATTTCTCTACTACTGACATTTGTTTATAGCCCTCCCCATTTTGTAAGTCTGGAACAGACAATCGAGGAAAAAGAATCGCCAACCCTCATCTGCCTCCATCTCTGTGCCTGGATGGGATTGTAACCATGGTTCCATCATGCTAGAACATGGTATGCTTAATTACGGTTCACTGAATAAATGACAACTCTCTCAGTTCACACATGCCAAACCATAAATCATGATTGCAAATCACAATGGTTTGGTTCACTGGGTGCCCAAAGGAAACCACAGCGATATCAAAATGATGAGACCTGCAGAACATAATCACACAAAAGCTGCCCCTCCAAACTTGTGTCCTGACAAGGGATGCAAGTTACAGTATGTGCACAATGACACCATCACACCCTCTCAAATGCCCATGTCACACAACAAGCTAAGCCCCCACCAGGTAACTATTAAGCACAGCAAGTGATCCCAATCTGAAGAAATTAGCTGTAATCCAGAGCCTGGGGGGAAGTGGTGGTGTTTCAACTGGCTCACTTTTAATGCCTACTGCTGTAACTGTTGTACCATAATGCCTACTGGAAGCAAAACTAACATCCAAGTTGTAACTGTTTCTTATCAGAAGAAATCTCACATTTCCTAACTGGAAATAAATGTCAGCTTTGTACAATTAGTTCCAGAAAGGGCTGGAAATAAATATTTTCATTTAGGCATCAAATACATGCAATCTGAGAAAGCACAGAATTTCTCCCTGAGAGAGAGAGAGAGAGAGGGAGAGGGAGAGGGAGAGAGAGAAAGTAAGTAAGTAAGTAAATAAATAAGTAAGTAAGTAAGTAGGTTAAGCAACAAAAAAGTTACAAAGAGCATAAAGGCACAGCAGTGAGTCAGCCTGTTTTTCACAGAAATCTCACTTTGGAAACTTTAGGACAAAGGCAGACAAGAACTGTAACATGAAGTAGATGTGGCTTTGGTAGTCATGACCAAAATGTGTGCCACCTGTTCCTCTTCAGGGCAAATTTCAGAAGTTTTGACGAGGTCAGTCATAGCAAAGCAACCTGGACAATGTCCTGGGTGAACAATCTGCCCCCAGCAAATGGGGCTCCAACATTCAGAAACAAGACCAGTTGCCACTTTACTCCTACGGCGATAATTCGAATTGAAAGTACACTGCTATCCGAGGCCTTCCTGTTCAGATGATGGAAGTTAATTCAGGTCACGACCCCGACGGTTTTCTGACCTTAATGACCAAGGGCCGCCCCCTAACTTGGTGCCCACTAGCTGTGTTGGACCACAACTCGTTACTCCGACCAGCCTTGGCCAGGCTAGTCGGGACTGATGAGAGTTGTAACCTCACCCAGGCGCAGGACCCGGGTCGGAAGACGCCGCGGTGGCGGACACCCCGGATTCAAAGGGAGAAGCAGAACTGCCGCTCTCCGTCCCTGGGATTTAGTGGCAGCCACCAATGGCTCAGCCGCTTCCAGACGGGGGCCACGCAAAGTCTGTCAACCCATCCGCGCTCA